TGGTCCAGAAGGCAAAGAAAGGAGGGGTAGTTGACTCTGATTATCATGAAGCATCAGGTTGTTACTATACAATGAGGGCAAGGAGGGACTCTAAGTGTTTCACTGTGGGTATTTCATGCTCAATAAAAACAGCAGGTGGCAGTTGTGGCCTGAAAAGGACAAAGTGATGAAGAACTCAGACCCCTCTGCAATGAAGGTCTGGGTCACCCTATCCAACCAGCAGTCTAGATGCACTTTATGGGTCACCCTATCAGGCCAGCAATCTAGGTCCGGTAAAGTGCTATCCAATGGCAGGATATCCAGAGAACGTGGTGGTGGAGGGAAGAGACTATCAAGGAAGATAACCTTGGTACCAGTTAAAGAAGTGGGGCCTGGACGTCCTGTGGTGCAACCCCCCTCTATTGAGTGTTTTAGATGGATTTCAGCCAGCCATGACCTTGAAGACTCAGTGACACAATGAAAATAATACAGGGCAGGCCCCCATCTGAGTAGAGCAAAGAGAATATTGTAACAAAGATGTCATGTGTTTTGTGCTCACATCCAAATGCCCAGCTCTGATTTTATCAGTAGGTATGTAGATCATTCTATGGATACTCAGGCTCCTTCTCTGGTTAATAATATCCAACATGACACATGCACTGTGTACTTTTTAAATTTCCTACCCCAGAGCCTTCTCTGACTCTTCAGGAGTTCACTCAGGCCACAGGCAAGCATAGCCCAGAAGTAGAGGAGAATTACCACCTCTGCTGGCAAGGCCCAACCAGAGGAGAGAGAGGACCTGCATGCCCTAGCTTCCTGCCCTCCAGCAGACAGTCTCTGAGAGGCATCCTATATGCTTGCCAGGAGAACCTGGAGAATCAAGCCCCAATCTCATGCTATCAATTTTCTCACTCCTGCTTCCTCAGATCTCTTCCTAAACAAACTACCTTCACCCAAGTCCTTGCTTCAGGCTCTGTTTGGGGGAAGACAAAATTAACATATTCTTTGAAAATTTAATAGAGAAAGAACAGAAGAGAGTTCAAAGCAAATTTTCCTGGGCTGATTGCTACTAACAGCAGGTGGTACTTGAGCAATTAATTGGAAACATAGAAGATGTCACCTTATTTTTTCAAAAGATGTTGAGGCAGATCACATTCATGAAACTCCAGTCTCTGCAGATGTGTGATCATGTCTTTTCAGTGCAGGAAAACTTTACGTACCAAATCTAAACTCTCCTGTCATTATCCCTTTCCCTGTGTCTGTTCACCCTCTACTAGTTAAACCCCATTCTTATTTCTTCCCCAAACATAGCTCTATTCCAGTCCATCCAGCCTCCTTACTGATCCATAAACAATTTACGCTCTTGAATTTCTTGCATTTTTTTAATTTCTTTCCAAGTTCTCTTTGTTGAGTATAAATAGAATTCTGAAATTTATATAAAGAACAAATTTCTTGACTAAACAAACCGAGTTCTTTTCTGTGTAGAAAAGTAAATTATACTAATTGTCTCAATTATTACTACTTTGGCCTAAAGAGGGCACTGCTTGCATTCGTTGACAACTGTTTTTTACAAAAACCTGTCTCATATTCCAGCATCTAAGTTCCTCACACATACCAAAAAACTGGAACAAACACTTCTTTAACTGAAGAATCTAAGTCAGATGTCCACATTCTGGAATCAAATCCTCTATGGGCTTACGAAGGCCAAAACATAAATGAACTTCTAGAAGTAATATTTATGATCTAGTGGTTTCAGATGGGATGTGTGCTGGGAGAACTTATGTCATCAGGAAGCCAGAGGATCCAGAAGTTTCCAAGAACTAGCCTCTGTCTTTCATAGAAGGGATTCAAAGAACAAATGAATTTTTGCAATCTACTCTTCAACATTTCCTTTTTAAGAAAATTAACCTTCAAATGAAAAAAAAAGTCCTTCCTAAAATGGACCCATTCAAGAAGGAAAGAATTTTAATCTTTACTATAGTTACTTGCATAGTATTTTAAATCCAGGGGTATAGTATGGAAAGCATCTACAATAAATCTGGTACCTTGGTTTTTGTTCTGGTTAAACAGGGCAAGGGATGATTAGCAGCCTCCTCCTGTATTAGTCCCAGCTCCACAACTCCCTGCACATCCAGAATGCCCACTCGAGAGACTCAGCCATCTCTGCGCTGAAGGAAGCCCATGGTCCTCAGAGAACACTCAAGTGCCCTGGGCCTTATCCCTGCACTGGGGCCACCACTTGGGAGCTAATAAACAGTCCCCATCACCATCTCTGACAAAAGAAAATTGTAAATGAATATAATGGATACACATCAATGTATAAAAAAAAAATTTTTTTACAAGTTTTTTGTTCACTGTATTTTTAAATAAGGAAATGAGATCATGAGAACACTAAACATGAGATGTCGAAGGTGATTGGGGCTGAGACCCTCATTGTTCTTCAGTCACGATCCACCCAAGCAAGAGGGAGTATCTTGACATCTAGAGCAGCTTCTCCCACTTGGGCCATTAATTGTTGATGTGCCTTAGTTTCTGCCTCTTTAAAAGTTACCCATGACAACATGGGAGTAGGCATGTGATGTCCACATATTTTCTTCTAGTTCTTACTTTTTATAGTCTAACTAGCTGACTCTCATATAGTCTCACTAGCTAACTCTTGGGAGAAATGACAGTAGTTGCCAGATACTGTTGATATCCCAAGGGAGCACAGTAGACCTTCTCAGTGCCCCAGATGGGGCACTCCTTTTTGTTTTTTAACCTCTTCTCCTATTCTTTTTGCCCTTCCTTTCTGTTTAATATTCTATACTCCGACTATGCTCACCACTTTCTATGGATTTCCTGAATGACCCTACCAAATCATTGTTTTTATTTCAAACAAACAAAAACCCCCAAAATAAAAACAAGGATCATCTGGACATAATACCTATTAAAAAAAAAAAAAAAGAGGAGGAGAAAGGAAAAGGCAGCTTTCTCCCCAGCCCCATATTTGCCCACTTGAAAGCTTTTGCTTATGCATTATCTTGTTCAATCCTCAGAGTTCAACAGCCAGATCAGCTCTGGCAATTAGAGACTGACTGGATAATGAATAGAAGATACCAAAATTCTGATTGGTGGGGCTCAGAGGTGCAGAAAAAGATCTAAAATACAGCAAGAGAGGCCCTCTGGCTTGGGATCCCCAAACATCATTAGGTACACAATAATGGGGGCAAGAGGTAGAAAACATTCCCTCCTGAGATCCTCATTTGTGAATTCATAGCTTTAAGGGGACTGACATGAAGAAAAAAGACAGTCCATCATCTAGAGTTTTCTGAAAAGACTGAAGAGAAGAAGGGAGAAATTGTCAAATATAATCACATTTTTACCAATGTTGTGGGACTCTGACCAGAAAATGGTAGGCATGGCAGAAATTTAATCACTAAACAAATAGGAAGAAGAAAGGGGCCATCTACAACAATTTACCAGGCTGTACTGTAAGAAGTCTTCTGGGGGCACCTGGGTGGCTCAGTCTCTTAAACGTCTGCCTTCAGCTCGGGTCATGATTCCAGGGGCCTGGGATCGAGCCCTGCATCAGGCTGCCCACTCAGTGGGGAGTCTGCTCACTCTTCCTCTGCCCACTCCCCTCCCGTGTTCTCTCTCTCTCTCAAATAAATAAATAAAACCTTTAAAAAAAAGATTTCTGAGGTTAAGAGTGGTGTCTGTGGCCAAATGCCTTCTGTTTACCACATTTCCCAAGTGGAAATTATAATAAACAAGTTGGGGGAGTTGAGGCTACCATTCCCTAGACAGCAAGACAGCTTTTGCCTTCTCTTTTTTTTCTCCCTTCTTTTATGCTGAGGAAAAGTTTGCATAAAGTTGGACCACAGAGATGGCCTTTTCTAAGATTGGATGACAGAAACTCAGTAGGAAGTGAATATTAATGCAAATGAAGGGCTCCTTGCATCGTGAGTTTTCATTTTTGTTCAACTGCCTCCTCATAGGAGAATGCATGCATGAGGAAAAATGACATGGCAGTGAAACACTGTCAGGTGTGCAACATGGAGTGTTCCCAAATAAGTCGTATGCCAACTGTCCTGATTCTTCGTTCACGCAACTACATACACAAAAATCCTTACAGGAACATTTGCCACCAGTACTGGAGAGTTGTGGAGCTACTTGACACTCCCTAAGTGAGGTATTCTTTTTTTTTTTTTTAAGAATTTATTTATTTTACAGAGAAAGAGAGTATGTGCAGGAATGCAGCCGGGAGGGGTAGAGGGAGAACGAGAATCCCGAGCAGATTCCCACTAAGCATGGGGCCCAACGTGGGGCTCCATCCCGGGACCCTGAGATAATGACCCGAAGCCAAGAGTTAACTGCTTAACTGACTGAGCCCCTGAGCGGCCCCCTAAGCCAGGTATTCTTAAAGGAGAAGAAGGAGAAGGAGGAGATGGAGGAGGAAGACAAGGAGGAAGACAAAGAGGAGGAGGAGAAGTCTTCAAGCAAATAACAGTCAGTTAGTTATCAAAATCCTGGTTCCAGTTTTCTCTAGACCATCTGAGCATGGCTGTTGTCTTTATTACTGTTTGGAAGTTTGGAGGAATCAAGACCTGAGTTATAGCATCCCAGAGACCATTATGATATTGGCTTCAAGACTTGAAAAAAGAAAAGAGAGAGAAAAAGCAAGCTGACTGAGAAAGCCAAAGTCATTACATTAGCTTTGCCTGTCTTTTCCCCACCCACTCCATCCACCTCTCTTAGATTAGGTCATCACAAAAACAATTTAGCAGCTTCTTCTCTTCTTGATTTTTATCCCAGAATAAGTTACAGTTCTGTCCTCTCTTTTCATGTGGCGCTATAACCAAACTTTTATTCTCTGAAGCCAAAGACAAAAAGCCTTGATAATCTTTGAGCAAGGCATAACCAACCACCCACCTGACATACCGCTTCCTGTCGTGGAACAGTGAGGTCACCGAGCACAGCTAATCCTCAAGATTCAGATCAGAACAGGAGCCTTTTTCACCCTGCTGGAGAAAGCTGCTGGCATGGCTTGCCCTGGTTTGATGTGGGCACTTGTGGTTTTCACCTGTCTTGGTAAGGAAGACACAGCTTTTTGCTTTTACTATTACGCAACAGGACTGGGAATTAGGGAGAAAGATTACGAGCACAGGCATTTTACCTCTCGTTGATTCTGGCTATTGGGGGCAAAGAAGCTGATGGATATTGCCTGAAGTTTGATCAAGAAAAGGCTGGGGGATGGGATCTGCCTGTGAGTCTGCCTGCCTTATCTGCCTGGTTTGAGATACCCTCTCCTCTTTCCCACAGGATCCAGCACAGCCCAGACGGTCACTCAGACTCAACCAGACACGTCTTTGCGGGAGACAGAGACTGTGACCCTGCACTGCACGTATGACACTAGTGACACTGATTATTATTTGTTCTGGTACAAACAGCCTCCCAGTGGGGAGATGAGTTTCATTATTCGCCAAGAATCTTATAAGCAAGAGAATGCAACAGAGGATCGCTTCTCTGTGAACTTCCAGAAAGCAAAAAAATCCTTTGGTCTCAGGATCTCAGACTCCCGCCTAGAGGATGCTGCGACGTATTTCTGTGCTATCACTAGGGGCACAGTGACATGAGCAGTTGGAAGAGGCTTACAGAAACCTCAGACCTCAGCATAGGTGTGGAGGTACGGGTGGGGCAGGGGATAGGGGGAGTGTGTGGGGTACCAGGAACACAGAGGAAATCATTGACTTCTCTGGAGAAAAAAAATAGTGTTCTATAGGACTGAAGGAAACACAGAAAGGATGTCTGTAAGCTGTAGTTCTCAAAATAGTAATGGAAATGATGAATGTACACAATGTGTTACATGTTCGCAGAGTACCTCCATGTGCATTTGTTTCATTTAACCCTGATGGCCCCATGTGTTATATAGGACAGGTCAGACATTCAATTCAGTGACTCTTGTAGCTAGAACCAAAGCTACATTCTAGAATCATGCCTTAACCTTTTCCCAGTGTATGTTACTCATTTTGCTATTCATCTGAACATCTGATCATACCAAAGGCAGCATATCCAAAATTAAATTTCCCCATGAATCTTTTTTTTTTTTTCCATTATTTTTCCTCCTTTGCCTCTCTCAGGATTCAGGCACACAATAAACACCTGCCGCCACTGAGTTTGGAGAATTTCTCCACCCTCCACCTCCCATCCTAGGCCATCTGATTTTTTTGCATATGTAACACATTATTCCTTTCTAATTACAAAACTGAAAAAAAAAAATCATGTCGATCTCATTGTTTCCCAACTGCTCTATCATCCATTCTCCCTGACTTGAGTCTAATTTCACCCTGTATTTCTTAAACGTCTTTAATGCACCACTGGTCCAACGTAAGAAAATGAGGAAAACAAACAAGTGTCAAATAGAATTTGTTTCACATGCTGTTAACACTCATCAGCAAATGCTTTAAAAAAAGGGGAAAAAAGGCAAAATTCTAGTAAAGCTATCTCTTCTTCTAATGAGGCAACATGGGAGGAAGTGGACCATTTAGAAGAACCAAGTCCCAAATCACCAGAATCACCACCCCTAATGCCCTGAAATGTGGGGGGTGTCTGGACCTTGCGAGAAGTCCATCTTGCTTATGCAAAAGAAAAAAAAAACAAAAAACAAAAAACAGGGCACCTGGGTAGCTCCGTGGGTTAGGCCTCTGCCTTAGGCTCAGGTCATGATCTCAGGGTCTTGGGATGGAGCCCTGCCTTGGGCTCTTTGCTCAGCAGGGAGCCTGCTTCCCCCTCTCTCTGCCTACCTCTCTGCCTACTTGTGATCTCTCTTTCTCTGTCAAATGAATAAATAAAACCTTTAAAAAAAAAAAAGAAAGAAAAAAAACAGTCGGATAGAAAAAGTAATTCCAGCATTTCTTTTTAAGTCCATAATTCCCTCAGTACATAGTGTTTATTGTTAAGACCCTTGCAGAGTATTTAATTCCATCGGCCCACCTTGAGTGAGTGGGAGAGAGTTGGATAAGATATTATGTGGCTGAAATACTTAGTCCGCTGAGTGGGTCTGGAGCTGAGGATGGAGGAGTGTTTAGAAGGAGTGGTGGAAGTTACTAGAGCTGGGAGATGCCAAGGGGAGCCAAAGCCTAAATAACAACTAACAGCAAGTATTCACAAGAACACCTTGTCACCCGTGAGTTATCAGTACTAGCATGCAGAACTCAGTACCGAGACTGAAACCGGAGACAGTACTGGTGACATGCAGAAGAGCTTTGGGATTTCTTGTGCCTTCTCCACAGTCTTCTTCGAGATCTTCTCTACTGGCTGCTTTAGGCCAAGGCCCCATAGCTCAGGGTCCCACTCATAGTCCCATCGAACAACTTGGAGTTGTCTGGAACACCCCCCTTTAGTTTCACATGCTGGAGCCTGAGGGCAAGTCACGCCTCCCATGCTCCCCAAATTCCATCCCCTCTGATCACTCACTGTAATCACATTCCTTCCAGCCTCAACTCCCAGAACACAACAACCCAGCCCCAGCTCACATGCCTGGAAACTCAGTGAAAGAATTATGTCTCACACAAGTCAGATAACCCTGGGCCATTCAAGCTTACCCTCTCCTATATCCCTCTCAGGTTCAAGTAGTCATCAAGACTTACAGATTCAGGCTAATTGTCAAGTTTCATATCAAAGTTTACTTCTTTTTTTTTTAAGATTTCATTTATTTATTTGAGAGAAAGAAGACATACAGTGACAGAGATAGCAAGAGAGAGCACAAACAGGATGAGGGGCCGAGGGAGAAGCAAACTCTCCACTGAGCAGGGACCCTGACATGGGCTCGATCCCAGGACCCTGAGATCATGACCTGAGCCCAAGATAGGTGCTTAACTGACTGAACCACTCAGGTGCCCGAAAGTTTTTTCCATCGTTGCTGCCAGGGCCTTCACAGAGCTCCTCTTGGTTGAATTAATTAATTGTCATCTTGGGATGCACATCAAAGGGGCAAACCTAATACTTTATGGGACTTACATGTGTTTTTTACTGTACCCCCGTTGAAGTGCAAGCTTTAGCTATCAGAGACTGTTTTATTCATTTCAATAGTAACAGTACCTACAACATTACTTAATTCACAGATACGATTTTTTTAAAATTTTTTAAATGAAGTTAATTAATTGATGCATTTTCCTCATTTCCTCATTAAACAGGATAAAATAAAAGTTGATTCTGGGCTAACTCAGAGGAAACAGAGACTATATGGTATACAGAAAATTACTATTATTAGTAATAGTAATATTACTATCAATATTGAATAGTAGTTGACAATATTATATTAATAATAATAGTAGTAGTAGTAGCTGATACTTACTGCACATATCTATGTGCCCTATTCCACATGCCTGCACCCCATAGGTGCAGAATATGAATTGTTTCACTTAGTAGTTTCAACAAAACTATGTTGTAGGTAATACTGATAACCCTATTTTGTATGAAGAAATTAAACTTCAAAGAAGCTAACTTGCCTAGAATCACACACACTGTATGTATGGCTCATTAATCACTGGAGCCTCTGCCTTCCCAGAGAATAGCAAATGCTACAGCCTCTCAGTCTTACTAATTTGATAGATACATAGATAGATGATGAGAAAAAAAGAAATGCACAATAACAGTGTTATAATGTGCATACACTTGTAACTGGCTCTCACTTTTTCTAAGTTATAATTGAATACTGCCTGATTTCATTTATCTTTGTTAGTGAAGTTGAAAGTAGAATTAACAGTATTATCATGATTATCACGATTGTGTTTCTACATACAGACTTTGTGCCTTAATATTAGTTTATAATTATTTTGCTTGGAAATTTTCAATATTTTAAACTTCAAGGTATTTTTCAATAGCTTTTTAAGTTTAAAACACAGTTTTTAGCACAGGTGTTAATAAGTGTTCCAAGTGCCATGTTGTGTCATTCAGTGAAGAATGTCATTAAAAAAACTTTTTTAACCTTTCCAAATTATTATAGAAAAATCTTTTTTGTAACTTTTTTGAACTGTTGGGTGTTCCTATGAATGTTCTGTTCCGATTTTTTTCCTCCAGTGAAAAACTATTATATTCTAAATACTTTCCCACATAAATAAACAGTTCTTCCATTGCACGAGTTTCCGTGGCTATAAAATTTTACATCTTTGGGATATACTTTAGTTTACTCAATCATTAACTTCTGCAGGTGAACATCTGTTTATTGTTACCAAACCAGGTCTATTATAAGTAAAATTGAGACAGTAAAGAAGAATATTTGTACATAAAACTGTATACAAGTAAGAAAGAGTCAAGTCAAAGAAGTGGAAGCAAAAAACAAAAAATTTGTTGACTAAAAAAATTGAAAAACCCAGGCTTCAAGAAGTCTGGATCCCAGTACTCAAATGATACTACCCAGAACTTGCCTCTCACTAAGCTCTTCTTTACTTTGGCTTTATTCAGAAGTAAGTGCTGGCCAGCTGATGGCAGAAATGACCACCAGCAGCCTCAGACTCATAACTTGTTCATTTCCTATTGTTGCTGAAACAAATAACCACACATTTAGTGGCTTAAACAATAGAAATTTATTATCTTACTTTCTGAAAGTCAGAAGTTACACTGAGCTAAAATCAAGGTGTTGGTAAGGCTGCATTCCTTCTGGAGTCTTGGGATGGGGTGTAGGAGGGGAGGTGAAACCTTGAGTCTATTCTGACCTCCAGAGGCTGGCACACTCCTGGCTCATGGTTTTTTTCTGTCTTCAAACCCAGCAGTCATGTCATTTTGACCTCTGCTTCCACCACATCTCCTTTTCTGTCTTGATGCTCCAGCTTCCCATTTACAAAGACCCTCGTGAGTACATTGGCCTCACCGAGGTATTCCAGAATAGTCTCCCTATCTCAATACCCTTAATTCAAACCTTAAGATTCCTCTCTTCGTGTGTCTTCATTAGCCTGCATCGGCTTTCTCTCACCTAGTAGACTCTTTGTTCTAGAATGATATTGTATATATTGTGTTTGATGTAGGAAAGATGTTAGGGCGCAAAGCCAATGGTCAAGAAAGAATTCTTGAGACATCTTTGGTGCAAAAAGGTGGTTTTATTAAAGCACAGGTCAGGACCGTGGGCAGAAAGAGCTGCACTGGGGTCATCAGGAGTGGCCCATAATATACTCACAAGTTGGGAGGGGTTTAAGGATAGTGTAAGCCTGCCAGGTATTTTGGAAACAAGGTTCCCAGGATCCTGATAGGGCTAGCTATTGTTAAGAAAGGCAAGTTATTACTGTTTAGCAAAAACTCAGTCACTGAGACCCTTCAGATGTGTATCCGTGGGTCATATGTTTGGGGGATGACGCCAACATGTATCTTCGGAGGGTAGAAGCAAAGGAAGTTTCCAAAGGAATTTTTATAGGTTAAAGTAGACTTGCAGGATCCTGGGGGGCTGAGATAATGTTAAACTAAGATTCCCTTTTGCCCTCAGCAAAGTATTAACGTTGAGGTAGCTGAGTTCCTAGAGGAATGTCACTCTGCTTGTTTCAAGGACTTGTCAGTGGACTGTAAGTAGTAAGAAAATTTAATAATTTTTCTTCTGCCTTCATTTCCCACATCAGTGTTTCCTTCCAGGCAAGGAATGATATTAAAAATGTCTAGCCTA